GTTCACAGAAAAAGATATCAAATAAATTCAAAAAAAAAACCTATCGAATAGGGTGACATCAATATACATTTTCCACAGTAATGTAGAAGGAAACCACAAACAGCATCCATTCACACAAATGCCCTTACTTTTGTGTATAGAGGTTCATAAAGTTTCTGATATTTAGCTTCCAGTGCTGCTCTTTCCTCAAAAAACTTTGCCTCTAGCTCATCATGTTGACTCTGCAAAATTGAGATGTTTCATATAACAAACCACGTTTTTGGCATACCCGATGAATATTGTGCATGACACTTGGAGAAACCATCTCAAACAAGGACTCTTCAGAGCAATATTAATATACAACTCTAACTGGACAAAGATCCAATTGTCAATGGATTATGATGCAATATTGGTAAGTATAGCTTAGGGGGTATCCAAGTTAGGTCAATGTGTGTATCAATTTCTATTACTGTCAAAATCCAAGCATAGCCAGGAAATAAAATCAAGAGGAGAAGTACTAGTCATGCTTTCTCCTAGATGACAAAAACCTAGAATTAGAACTCACAAACCCATGTGCACAATGTCATAATCTATCGCCACTACACATTGTGCAACCATTCTTTTTTCCTGTGTTAGGACCTTTCATGCATGGTCCGAAAAGGCAGTGCTTAAGCACACCTCATTGAGGCACGGCCTCTATGCCTCAAGAAGGCTTATTTTGGTGCAATTTTTTTGCCTCATTCCGTTTGCTACTAGAAGAAGACACCATGCAGTTTCCACAAAAATTATATAACTGTGGGTGTTGCTAGCGACAGGCTAAACAATTTCAAGAAACTTGGTGCATAAAAATAGAATGAAATGATAGTAGTAGTATAATATTTTAAGTAATCTCCTAAATATTCCAGTGCTATAAAGAGAAATGAACGGCACAAAATTACAGAGCACGCACATATACTCGAGAAAATGGAAATTTAAGAATAAATGAGAACCTGGATCTCCCTCAGAACCTCAACACGCTTCCGGACTATCGGAGACAGTGTCTCAAGTACATCCGTGTGCTGCCCAGCCAAATTTTGTAATTTATCCTATTAATCAAAACAAAATATTGACGAAATAGATCAAGAAAAGACCGTGAACACAATCAAAATGCTTAAAAACTTCAATCAGTGTAACGTTTAAGAATTCACTGACCTTGAGAGCATTCACTAAACCAGCTCGATCCTCCGCGCTCAATGCTACGCCAAAAACACAACAATAACAACAACTAATCGCAAATCATACACATATACACAGACAATTAGGGTTCAGATTTTCATACCGGCAGCGGCGGCTGGGAGGGAGGAATCGACGTCGGACATGTCAAAGTTGTCTTTGGCGGGGTTACTCATGATAGTGAGAGAAAAGAGAAACCCTAGAGTGAGAAAGGTGATAAAACCCTTGAGAAAATTTGGGGGAAGGAAAAGGGAGGGAATACGTTCGTTTCCAGTGGAAGGAGTGAAAATGTAGGGATTTAGAATAAAG